GCTTCACGGAAGAGGTTGTAGCCTGAGATTAGGGCCAGGCCCATTTTTTCAGCATTGGGAGAATGGACGTGGCTCAAGAGATAGTCAAAGGTCTGCTTGTTCCAGTCCCTGAAAGGATCACAAAGAGTGTTGATCACCTAATGCCTTGAGCTGGGCGGAGAAACCTCAGACGGTCAGCTGGCATAGGGCCATGATTGTGGAGTTAATAATCACGGAGGCTGGTGAGGCTGTGTCCCAAACCCAGAAATCCACCATGTTCACTCTTGCAATGCCCCAAATGCCTACAGGTCTTCCCTCTCCCGAACTTTCCAGTATTCCCCCATCAATAGGTTAGGGAAGAGGGCAAACACAGGGTGCTCCATCATAACCATTTGGAGTGCACCCTGGCTTGAGATCACACAGCTGATGAGTTTCAACGAAAGCTTTAGCCAGGCTTTAGGGACTGTGAACCACAAGGTTCAGTCTGGCTCCGGGCACCCCACACTGTGAACACCAATGGCAGACATCAGCTTGCTCTTCCCCAGAACTTTTCCTCTTCCCCCTGGGCATACAGCACAACTACATTTCCTAGACTCTCTTGCAGCTAGGCATGGCCATGTGACTTGGTTCTTGCCAATGGACTCTAAAGACTCTGCCCATGTGGTCCTGCATGCTCCTTCTGCAATCACTGGCCCATGAGAATGACATTGAGGTGACCTCGGAAGCCATGTAGAAGGATGGCAGAGCCATGAGATGGAAGGAGCCCTCTGATCAGGAACATCAGTTTTGGAATTTATGGGGGTGAGAATTAGACTTCTGTTTGAGCCATTATTCCTTGGGGGGGTTCATTTGTTGAAGCAGCTGGTGATAACTTCTTTGATAAATCTGAGCGTTGATCCACCCCCTTAGAAGTTCCCTGGATTCACCAATGCATATGGAATTGACAGCTACCCAGGTTAGGGAAGAATGGAGACAAAGCCTCCTAGCACACAGTGTGTGGCACAGAGTAGGGGCTGAATGTGTGTATTTTCTTTATGTCATGCCATACCAGAGCTTCCATGAGCAGCTCATTCTTGGTGATGGGAACCTGATCGGGGGAAATCTGATGAAGGGGAACCCCCTCTGCAGACTCAGCCCCATGAGCCCCCCAGGCTACACTATGTGACCCTCACTCACGCCTCCTGTGGGTTTCTGGGGTCGGAGATGTAGGGCTGCCAGAAGCCGGCAGCCACGTCTGTGGTGGTGAGCGGGGTGAAGCGGTCCGCGTAGACCTTCATGTCCAGTGGCTGCAGGACTGAGTGGTAGC